CAATATTATCCTTTATCTGACGCATGTTCCAAATCCGATAGACAGGATCAGAAACCACTAATCTTGCTTGACCCTTTTGATGCGTGTGGATTAACCAGTTTTTCATCTATCATTAGCTACAAAGCAGACTGCCATGGAACAACCAGTCAGACAAGACGTAATCTCATACCATTCAATGTATTCAGGCTATTCCACTCTCCTCTGTTATTTCTCCATTCTAGCAGAAGTCAGCAGCAGAGTAGTAAAGAGGGAATAGCCACAAGATAGAACAAGTGCACACATAATAAACCACGCAAGCGTATTGTTTACATGTAACACGCTTGGGCCTCACATAACCAGCGGCACGACACTCGCATGTAAGGGGCCTAACACAACCACGGCACTCGCATGTACCGGGCCTCACACAACCACCGCCACGGCACTCGTATGTATAGGCCTCACACAACCACCGCCACGGCACTCGTATGTATAGCAAAATTGTAAAAATGTCACCAGCACACTATTAAGATAGCAAAAAGCGAGCACCCCCCACTACAAGGGACATATCGGTAAGGAGTGCGACAAGGAGAGTACTCATTTACTCGTATGTATAGGCCTCACACAACTACCTCCACGGCACTCGTATGTACGGGGCCTCACACAACCACCTCCACAGCACTCGTATGTACGGGGCCTCACACAACACTTACTGGTCATTTCCCAGTAAGTACTGAAAACTACAGTCTGGATATAATACCTGCTGGTTACACAAATATGGGCCCCTAATAAAGACATGTAAGGGTGCAATTGGCTACTATGGGACATACTTATTTTCTAGTCCCCCAGGTATTCTGCAGTGGCTTGCGAGTAATAATAAATACATTGTGTAAACTACTCCTTAAATGCAGTTTTCAAATATTAGACAGGTTCCACAGCGATATCAGAGAAAGATTTCAGTGTGCGATTATGAGCACCTCCTGGTCCTTATTCTGCAATTAATGCCTACACCACCAAATCATCCAGAGACTTCGCAGATATGTGACCTTTGCTGTTATACAGTGATCACGTGGTGCAACATGCAAATCTACAGTACACATTTAAAGTGTATGTAAACTGTAATAAAGAATTTTGCTTATTTTCTCCCTTTTGGTCTGTAAAAGTATTACTAAAGTCTTTTATTTCCACAAGCCTCAGTTCACATCTAGGCGACAGCGTATTAAGGCATTTTTCCACAGGTTGTGTCTAGCATTTTTGCACATTTTTACATATGTTTGACAAGGATTTTCAAAAGCATTGAAGCGGTCAGGATTTCAGCTGCCAGATAGTCCTTGTAACAAAATGCGCAAAAAAAATGTGCGGCATATTTGCAGGCGTTTCCATTAAAGTCTATAGAGCCAAAAGCCGAGAAATCTGCAGAAAAGTAGCTTATGTACTGTTCCCAGTGACCGGCATTTTGCTACCGGTGACAACGCTCAGACATGAACACGGGCCATAGAAAATAATGGGATTCCTTGTGTTCAATGTTTTGATCTACAAAACACCTAGGTGTGACCAGGGACTAACATATCGGTGTAAATCAATGTAGCCCAGGACAGTAACTGAACAGTTCCAGAAAGACTTACACTGCTACGACCTTAGCCGCCTGATTTCTCTGCTCTGCTTCCATGAACTTCCTATCGGGGAGCACACACCCATAGCGTCATCACCAATCACATCATCCCCTCCTTTGGGACTAAATATCCCAGCATCAGTACAAATGCTCACCCCCAGTGATTCACAAAATAAAAGCTTTCAATCTCAGGATGCCTGAGACTAACGGCGCAGGCAGCATGCCAACATCACCATGTAGTCCTCTGCTAGGAGCAAGCCCCACAATGTGGCTCCATAGGGCCCACGTAAGCCAATGAGCCACCCTGGAAACCAGAAAGCAGAGACAGCAATAAGGAGACCGGGATAAACTGAAGGAAAGGGAATGGCCTGCACACAATGTAAGTTATTAGGTCAGCTGCTGAAATGTTCTTTAAAAAAAAAAAAAAGAAAACCTGTGTTCAATGTCACTTTAATATCCCAATGAAAGCATTTTCTTATATCTGTTAACCAAAAAAAACAAAAAACACACACCTGTTGATCCTGCCAGAAACCTGGGGAGCTGATAACGTAATGGGCTACACTCCCAAGTGAAAATAAATGGAAACAAGCCTTTAAAAGAAAGGTAAGCAGCCGTCACATCTAAGGACTAATAAGCGGTAATATATTACATTTTTCTTGGGATTAGATATACTTTAAGGCAGATACAACATTACAAGCCGGTCTTCTTTCATTTGCCATATTAAATTGATATGTAGGGCTGCAACAACTAATCGGCATAATCGATTATAGGACGAACTTAATAATCGGCTAACTAATCGATTTTGAAAATAATCGTTAGCTGCAGCTCTATTGATATGCATGCCAACTAGTATACAGCCTGCAGCATTCCTGCATGATCCAACTGTTACTCACTAATATAATATAGGTGTAATGATCTACACAATTAGCGGAAACCCCTAACTCCAAACTCAGAAGATGGACAACGATCAGTGAACGTCTACAGAGAAAAAGTGATGCAGTACAAAACTCTGATGCAGCAAACCAGATAATTGACTTATCATTAAGAGTCTGATTACAGCCTGCACATCAGCTAAGTGCTGAATGATCACAGTGATGATGTAAAGGGCATATGTAATCAGGTAAACATGGTGTATAGGGCCCAAAATGTGTATCATCACATCACCTAGCAGAGAGTGGAAGCAAAGGACAAAATCATTGTGACATAGTTATTACTGACGCAGGTTTGCGACTGTGCCGAGACCTCCAACTGTCACTGCCAATGATAGGTATGGTGTCAGCTCTGATTACTACTACAATGGAGGAATAAAGCATGACTTGGTTGCAATTATAGCTGAACTTCAAATAAAACTTATTTTCTAGTATTGGATAGAAAGGAGAATGGATAAAAATGGTCCTTTTTTTACTGCTGTCCGAGTCATCATTGGAGACATTTTTCCTCATTTCCTGTCCTGAAGACTTAATGTGAAGTCTGTCACCAGACATGGGAGTCTCCATTGGGAAATCACCCATCTTCTATTATTGGAGAACACTGGAAGATTCCCCTTCACTTGATGCCCTGATGACAATGATGACAGTGGTCACTGCCACAGAATCAGTGTCAATCCACTATTAAGGATGACAGCAAAAACCTGACACCACTCTACCCAAAACATAGTGAAAGATTTCCACCTCAGACCATCATATGTATGGATAGCAGGAACGGGATAAGCGGAATTACTGGAAGCCAGTTATAGGACCCTTCACTGATATTACAGGCAGTCATATAGCACCAACAATGTAGCAGCACTTCACATCGGATTCTTGGTCCGGTTTTCATAAATCACTCCCACATAATGTGACAACCCCACAAATGTGATATCATTTTCATGGTAAATGTCACCGTGTGACCTCATGCACGCCATTTTGTTGCGTGTTTTCTGAAGTTCAACATGAAGTCCATTCACCCCCTAAGGCTGGGTTCACACCTAGGTGGCACCGTTTGTGCACGCGTGTTAACAGCATGCAATTATTTGCGTGTTTATGCACGTTTTAACCTGCGTACATTAAGACGCACGTTTTGATTGGCAGAGCATAAACCATTGTGGGCAATGGAAGAACGCACGTATAAACGCGCAAAAACGCTCACGGAAATGTGCAACATGCTTCTGTTGCGTGTTTTTGGGCATTTCCAATGAAGTCTATGGGGCAAAGAAGCGCTTTTAACCACCCAAAGAAGCTCCTGTATCTTTTTGGGTGTTTGGCGATTTTCTGCGGTCTTTCTGCTCAGGTGTGAACCAGGGCCATTGAAAATCATGGGATTTTTTGTGTTGGGCAGTTAAACGCGCTTTTCGAACTGCTCAGAAACGCCTAGGTGTGAACCAGGGCTTAGGATTGTCACTTGTAGCTCAAAAAAGTACATGAGCGTTTTTGGGCAGAATTGCATGTTTTTGCTCCTAATAGGAACATGTGAAGGAAACAGTAGCGTTCTTTTTTGTGTGATTTTGCGCCTAATAGCCCGTTCTCCTCCTAGTAACTAGCTTTCCATTGAGTCAGATAAAGTTTGAAAAACATTAAAAAAGTGCGAAAACCAAACATTGAAAATCATGTGAAATTTCTGAAGTGTGAATGGAGATGACGTTACACAATTCCTAATCATTATGTCACATAATGAATGGTAAATTACAGATATTACTGGTTACAAGTGTCCAGGAAATCCAGTGTCCTCCACACTGCTCAGCCATATAATAACCCCAAACATAAAACGGTATAATATGACAAATGGATGACCACAATCACAGAAATACTGATGATCAGAATCATTATGTGCTGACTACTATAGAGGGATGATGAGGGTCACTGGGACCACACTCCCCTCTATGTCTCCTGAGATCAGAGACAACATAACATCATTCCATGACATGTTACAATGTATAAATTATAATGTTCACATACAAAGTTCTGCTTATGGGGGACCAAAAAGAGAAACACCTTAACACCTTGCCAACATAATATCTGCTGAGCAATCAAGAATGAGCAATGTTTTGCATGATTACCACACATTAAGGGGGAATCTATCAGAATTGGAGCAGACAGAATCTGGAGCAGTTGGCAACCAATCAGCTTCCCTCTTCAGTTTGGTCCAATTAAGCTCTGAAAATGAAAAATAGATGCTGATGCTCCAGATGTGATAAATTCCCCTCAATGTGTATATGACATATGTGCAGCAAACTGACACTCCTGCTTCATTCATTGATATTTAGTATCCACCCTGGTTTGCAGAATCTCTTCTCATCTCTACATGCATGGAGTAAGACACATGTTGATCTTTGTAAAAATGGAACAATGACGTCACGCATGGACGTGGCCCCATGACATCCCAGGTAAGGGTCCATGCTGTGCCCCCCGATGACTAGGAAAGGGGAAGTAGTTACCAGCTCTCCTCCTCTTCAAAGTCCACCATTCTGTCTATGTCTTCGGGCCGAAAGGGCACAACCTGGTCCAGCAGGAGCCCACTGTCCACCTCCCTTCTTCTCTCCTCGGATACCGCTTCCAGGAACTCTTCCCAGGCGGCGCCGTCCCCTCTCCCTCCAGCCTTGTCTTGGAGCACAGGGCCCGGGTTTAGCAGCAGGGAGGAGGCGGTGTTGATGTGCTGGGCAGGCGCAGGCAGTGTGGGAGTTCGGGCTGAGTTTGGAGGCAGGGTGGAGCGGGAGCGGAGCTGCTCGTTCTGCTTCTCCAGCTTCTTCACCAGCTCCTGAAGCTTCCTCACCTCTTGGTCAGCGCTCACATTGGAGTTCACGTCCTCCATGGTAGCCGGTTTGATCCTCTTGGCACTCCGTACCTGCTCAGCCCCGGCCCCAGCTCCAGCTCATAGCTCGCTTACTTCCACTAACTGCCACTCTGTGCCAGCAAACCACGCCCAGACTCTAGCTAGCCGTGACCTCATCGATTCAAGCCCCGCCTGTCAGAGATCCATTCCACCAATCCTCTCCCTTCCCCGGGTGTCGTCCTGCTCCATGACGCCACGGCGTAACGTGGCATTGGGTTTTATGGACGCGTTCCTTCTTGGGTCCGAGAGTGCATTAATAGAATGCAGAGACGCGCTGCGGACATGTTTGATGTGGGCACCGGAACAGGCTACTGTGATTGGACGAAGTTGTCACACTTTTGCTTGCGACATAAAAGTGAAGTTTTTATGAGTTTAGTAACAACTTGTAGCAGCAGGTCAGACCGTGTGATCACGTGGTGTGCGTCTACTGCGACTAGCAGGACTGATGAGTGGGATAAGTGGCTGTGATCACTCTGATGCTGAGGAATATGGGTAATAGATGGCATTTAATAAAATCATGTCAGCTCGTTCTAATTCTTTCCACCAACATTGATATAAAAACATTGTAGCAGGATTCAACAGCAGATTACAAAGTGTTAGCAAATAAAGTGTCCACGGGTGTTTGTTGGCTTTACCATACAAGTCTATTGGAACACATAACCCAGTTGAAGCAGGTCAGATGGAGGTCAACTGCGGGTCAAGTGCACCTGTCAATGTATTCTGAATGATCTCAGAAGCCTCTCAGACTGATGTCATCAACATAAGCCCAACGCTGACTTCACAGGCCCTGAAGATGCCAGGAGATGAGTCTGAAGGGATCGCCTAAAGGCAGTCAGAGTGGGAGATAGATGGACAGGTTGGGGTAAAGAGTTCATACTTGGCAGTATAGAGGGTATGGCTCAGTGGGCAGTAGAGAATGTGCATAACAATGGTCCGTATAGAGGGTATGGCTCAGTGGGCAGTATGAATGTGCATAACAATGGTCCGTATAGAGGGTAGGGCTCAGTGGGCAGTATAGAATATGCACAACAATGGTCCGTATAGAGGGTATTGCTCAGTGGGCAGTATAGAATATGCACAACAATGGTCCGTATAGAGGGTATGGCTCAGTGGGCAATATAGAATGTGCATAACAGTGGTCCGTATAGAGGGTATGTCAGTGGGCAGTATAGAATGTGGAGCACAATGGGCAGTATAGATGTTATGGCTCTGTGGGCAGTATAGATGGTATGGGTCAGTGGGCAGTTTAGAATATATGTCACAGTGAGTAGTATAGAAGGTGCAGTGCTGTATAGATGGTATGGCTCAGTGGGAAGTATAAATGTGCAGCATAGTGGACAGTATAGATAGTATGGCTCAATGGGCAGTATGAATGTGCAGCACAGTGTCCAGTACAAATGGTATGGCTCAGTGGGCAGTATAAATATGCAGCACAGTGAGCAGTACACATGGTATGCCTCAGTGGGAAGTATAAATGTGCAGCACAGTGGGGAGTATAGATAGTATGGCTCAATGGGCAGTATGAATGTACAGTTCAGTGGGCAGTATAGATGGTATGGCTCGGGCAGTTTAGAATATATGGCACAGTGAGTAGTATAGAAGTTACAGTGCTGTATAGATGGTATGGCCCAGTGGGCAGTATGAATGTGCAGCACAGTGTCCAGTACAAATGGTATGGCTCAGTGGGCAGTATAAATATGCAGCACAGTGAGCAGTACACATGGTATGCCTCAGTGGGAAGTATAAATGTGCAGCACAGTGGGGAGTATAGATAGTATGGCTCAATGGGCAGTATGAATGTACAGTACAGTGGGCAGTATAGATGGTATGGCTCTGTGGGCAGTTTATAATATATCAAGCAAAACAAATGACAAACGCACTCAACAATTTGTCACCAACTACCTTTCTACAGTTTATAATATATGGCACAGTGAGTAGTATAGAAGTTACAGTGCTGT